GATGTGATGAGGCGCGATTTCAAACGCCGGAACTATTATTATTTATTAGTAATGTGTCTATGGATTTTCCTTATCTTGGCTGTAACTCAATTATTTAGCAACAAACTTGGAAGGAGTTCACCGAGGCCACCTGTAACAGCAATGGTTAGCAGGTAGAGCAATGGAAATCAAAGGTACCAGAGTTGGCCATGGAAAGGAACAATGAGTGAGGATCCATGTGTAAGGTTCGAGAATTGAGGGTCACTGATATGAAGGATTTTACCAGGAATCAGTGACCAAGTAATTGACCAAGTGACGATCACGTGCCAACTACAAGGGATAGATAGGACCTGTTGATCAAAGGAACTGGAGAATGTTTCAAGGATACGCTGACGTCACCGGAACAGCAAGGGTGTAACGCTGAGAGCTGTTGTTAATTAACATTATTAATGAAGATGCTATACCTGTTTTGAAGTGCTATTAACTGGCACCTGAGAGACTTTGAAGATACACTTCAAGAAAGTTCAATTTCTCAGTTAAGTGGAGAGCTTTACCCGTTAAGAGTTTTGGTTTGCGGCAATGAGTGGGAAGAATCCTTAACCACCGTTCCGCCCCTCCAAGTCTTGCCGAATAGTCGGGTTGTCTGGTCGGTCATCAACAGTGCCTTGGAGTGCTGCAAGCGTAGTTTGGACATTTTACTAAGTGAACATATTATTATTCTGGTACTAATTCTGGTAATTCTGTATGTAGGGGCTATATAAATAATAATAATAGTCCTTGCATTTGATATAGTGCCTTATCATTATTGTTATTATCATCACGTCTTTGGACGTCTCAAAGTGCTTCGTAGAATATAGTGTAAAGTGAATTGACTGAATATTTTATGGGCAAAATGCAAGTTATTGATGTTCTGCTCACCCCCTCGTCACTCAGCAAACCCGGACTTTCTATGTTTCCTGCTCTACCATCAATGGCTAAGACCTTCAGCCTTCAGAACTCCCTCCCACTCCCCCTCCATCTCACCCCCTTTCTATCTGTCTCGAAATCATGCCTGAAAACCTACCACTCCAACCTCGTCCCCAAGAAGCATTGCCCGATGTTACCCAAACGTGAAGGACACATTATAAATGCGAGCTGGTGTCTTGACTATAAGGGAATGCAAAACTAATTCTAGTGAATATTTAATAACATTGTAAGTTGCAAAATGGCTATTAGACAGTAGAAGTGAAGCAATCCAGAATGCATTTTACCCACTACTGCAAAACCTTTTTAAAAGTGCAAGTTCTATCCATTCTGCTCTTTCTATTCATAGATTAAGCAGTATTAAATTTACCAAATCTCCAGGGAGCTAAATTCTGGTAACACGTTAAAATTGCACTGAATATTATTGACGGATCTACACGGAGAGAGCATAACTACTGAGCAGTCACCCACATTCAGCAAATTCCAGAGTTTCACCAGCAATATTTCCACAGGTATGTGGGATCAACAGACAGCGACTGAGGACAAACACCACAGTTATTAAGGAAAGGGGTGAAAAGTTGACAAAAATACTGTAAATGGAATAACAAAACATGGTTGTAATATGTAGCTCCTGTCCAGCGTACCCAGTTAGCCGCTATTCAGCTCGATTTAGCAGTTAATGGCAAATCCAAGTTCGAAACAAAATACCTGAATAAAATGCAGTTGATCAAAAAATCGAGTTCCACTTTATCTTATTTCTTGAATATTTCCTTCGAACACAGATTTCCTTAGATAGGCGTTTTTTTTTCCTATTCTCTAAATGCGGATGAACCTCGGCGTACAATTAACCATATACATCAAGGTACATTCTAAGACATTGTACCTCTAAGTGTTATCTGTGACTTGGGAGCCACTTAGGTACGTGATCTTCTCCAAACTCCTGCTGGTCTTATTCTGTTATCGCACCTGTCTTACTTTGAAAGGAACAGGTGGATCAAGTTGATGCAATAAGGAGACAACCAAGGAGAAAGCTTTATTTGGGAAAAATGAGGACTACTACAAGTAGGTTACAGGGAATTCTTCTCAACTCACTCAACCGCCACATACTATGCAAACTTGTGAAGCGCTTTGAGACACCTCGAAGATGTAATAAAGCGCTATATCAAATGCAAGGATTATTGTTGTTATTAACATTATTAAATACACAACGGGAGTAGGTAGGGAGGGAGGGAGGGAGGGAGGCCCTGATGTGATTCTGAGTGCGGTTTGGAGTTCGGATTGCTTGGTACCTTTGGCAGCTGGATGAAGATGAACATGTTTTGTGAAAACGTGCTAATTGTTCCATTTTGTCATGTTGGAAGTTCAGTCAAATGGGCAAATCAAATGTTGGTATGTTCCTCGGGGGGCATTCGGATATGTCAAAATAATTTATGATAACCGTGTGATAAAATGTCTACACTGGCCCTTAAGCTCCCAGTGGGTCGAATTAAGAGATTCACCCTGTTGCGTTTACTTCCCTCCCTGTCCTCTCGTCCCACCCTTCTGTAACCCGACTGCCTTGGTCGCTCCCTCCGCTCCGCCAACGCTGATCTGCGTCATGCTCCCACCTAATCTGCTCCACCGTTGGCAGACAAGCTTTTTGAGACATTCTGCTCTCCCCTTCTCCGGTGCTACATCCTGGAGTCCTTACACACGGTCTCCTCCCTCTTCTCCTTTAGAACTTTTTAAAAAAAAAAAATTGACCGCTCTTTCTGGCATCTTAAAAAAAAAGTACATCTAAAAAAAACAACAGGGTAGGGGTAGGAAGGTGGCTGAATGCGCGTTCGAAGAGGAGAGTCTTGAGACGGGATTTGAAGGAGGCAAAGGAGGAGGCTCGGCGAAGGGACCGGGGGATGGAGTTCCAAAGGGTGGGGGCAGAGAGGCTGAAGGCCCGACCGCCGATGGTGGTCAAGAACAAAACTCAGCTCATCTTAACTAATTTCTGAGTGACAAATAGGCATTGCGTATTAATATTAAACCACAAATAAACTGACATTGTTTCAGTGTTCCCTCACAAATTCAATGGAATGAACTACCCTTGAGACGCAGGATATGTCGAGATATGTTTTTCCTCTGGGGAAATATACTTGACCCCATTCTCATCTGCGTCAGTGACCTGGTGGATGCCTCAAAAGGAACGTTTTCTTCCATCAGAAGAATTATTTATTAAGGCTATTGAATATTTATTTAGTTATTCTCGACTGCACATAAATTATTCATTTAATACTGTGACCATTTATTTATTTACTAAGCTAGATTTTTTTTTAACACCACCAATAATTTATTTATTACCGTCAGATACATTATTGATGGGATCAATTATTTATGCATATAATCTACGCAATCAAGGTGGTTGATTGGACTTCCGCGTGGTTTTAAGATGCATCCAAGTTTAAGAAGAAACAAGTGCAAGTATTCAGCAGAGTGAGTGTAATGATGGGCGTCTGTGCTCAGCTAAACTACAGGACAGTGTCAGTGCAATGGGTTGGAAGTGTTCCAAGAACAGAGGCCAATTAGGTAAGTAAGTAAGTGGGATCTTGTCGGCCATTAAAGCAGACAATACCAGTGTAAAAGTGTTCAAAGGTACACCACATCATAAACTAAGTTAATTTTTTATCAGAAAAGCCACCCTTTACAAAATCAGGATAACAGACAAAAATCTCAAGACTACTATATATATATATATGTATATAATATATATTTGATTTGTTCATGGAACGCTGCTGTGCGCAATTGGCTGCCGCATTTCACCCACAAAATGCACAGCAACTCCACGTTACAGTATATTCTGTGAAGCGCTTTGAAACGTCTCAATGACATGATCAGGCGCTCTATCAAATCTAAGGATTACTATTATTATATTGACTAGCTGGACATGTTGTCTTAGCTCACCCTGGACCTTTGGGCGAGGCAAATGAAGACTTCTGCCTTCTGTGTATCCATACTCTAGACAAGGAAGGGAGAGGAGAGTAACTGGGAAAAAAAATTATCCGCCAAAGAAAAAAAACCTCGACTCCAGCAATCCTCAAATCCCTTTGACGTAATCATTATGCTCACTGTCAAAAGTTCAGAATCTCTCAAGACAAACCGAGACAAATAAGAGGTTAGTTAGAAACTGATATGACACTGTATGCAAGAGCAGCTGAAGATTCTTTAAGGCCAGTAGAGAACACAAATTAATTGCAGGACAGGTGATGCAATTCAGTCCTACTATACTTGATGAATATTCAAGAATGTCATTTATCTGTGTGACTTGTGCAAGCTTTAGCTCATTGCTGGTCACGGTATTCCATTCCAATTATCATCCAACTGAAACACACTGTAATGACTTATCATAAGACACTTTATCGGTTATTTTAAGCATAGCAAGATCAAAATTTTGCAGATTTCTCCACTCACAGGCTCCCAATTACCGAACGGATTCATTTCAAATCCTCTCACTCGTTTCCAAATCCCTTCAGGCCCTGGCACCTTCCTACCGCTCTGATCTGCTTACCCCCACTCCACCACCCGTTGACTTCGCTCGAACTGGTGCTGGCCTCCTGTTTGCCCCTCGTCCCCTCCTCTCCACCATCGGTGGCCGTGTCTGCAGCCATTGCACCCCCAAAACTCTGGAACTCTCTCCCTCAATCCCTCTGCCTTGTTCCCTCTCTCCCAACCTTCAAGTCCCACCTGAAGACCTTCCTTTTTGATCCTGCTTATGGTCACCTCCCCCCTCCCTCTCCCCCGGCTAAGTGTCAAACTCCGCCACTGTCAAACACTCCGGGGCCCTACCCCACGTGAAGGGTGCGGTTTAAATGCAAGTCGCTGTTTTACATAAGACTGCAGAACACCAAAACAGACAGGCATTCAGCCCAAATAGTCATGCTCGTGTTTTTATACTCTACATGAGCCCTAATCCCCTCACCCTACGCCCCTTTCATACCCCTCTATTCTCATGTATTCTCTTCCGCTTCTCGTACGCACAGACGAGTACACGAGTATTCCGAGATGAGTTATTCAATAAGGAGGCCGTGAAATTAAAATAAAGATAACATTTATTTTATTTGACCTTCCTGGTGTCTCTGGATCACAGCATACAAAAGGCAATGTTTTTACACTTCAAAAATGGGAATCATTTCTGCAGACGTACAATCAACAAAAGCCCCGTCACGTCAACAAAAACTCACCTATAATACTGTAGGACAGTTTCTATTATACCACAGGATAGATTCTGTAGAATGGCTAAAAAATATTTTCCAATACAATTATGATTTAAACATTATAGGGAGAAGAGAAAATAAAATAAAATAAAAAGCCAATTACACCCACAATGGAGTACCATTAAAATCAAACTGTAGACATATTATACACTCATAATGTTCCATTGTGCTCCTACAAAACCTTGTAGCGTCCTCGGTTGGTTGGCTGGTAAGAGTTTTGCTGCAACAAAAGAAAAGGTTTAATGACTTGGTCAGCAGCAACAATGTCGACTCAACAAAATAATGAAAATACTATGTCACATATCGCAACCTGTCCGCTCCCTCTGCTCAGCGCACTCCGGCCTGCTTGACGTCCCCCGCCTTGCCCGCCCCACCATTGGCGGGTGGGCCTTCAGCCTCTCTGCCCCCACCCTCTGGAACTCCATCCCACAGTCACTCTGCCTCGTCCCCTCCCTTGCCTCCTACAAGAAATTATTCCCAAGACCCTCTTCATCGACCGTGCCTTCGGTCACCCTGCTACCCCTCCCCTCCCCTGGTGGAATGAGAACCAAAATTGCTTACATCAAACAACATGGCACAGAAGCAGACCATTCAGCCCAGCCAAGTCAGGACTGTTAAACTACTTGGGATGTCCTCCCGACGTGAAAGGGGCCTAAACCTATGTAAATTTGTGTTGCTTTGCAACTAGTGCGCACCAATGTTAGTACTCCATTCCAGACCTCCATCCATTCTGCCTACCAACAAGTGATAATTCCTGTAACATTTACAGTTAATTCAAACGTACTTTAAAATAAAAATAATTAGCACCATATTGGCTCATTGCAGCTTACCAGTCGAATGAGTTCTTCTTTAATAAGTCTTGTAATCTCAGCCTTAGCTTTCTGAACTGCCAGCTCACTCGCACCTAATAAAATGCCGTGAAAATGTTACACATGAAAACTGAAACGTGTAGCTATATTAATTTTCATCCAGCAGAAGTCAGGGATCAAATAACAAGTTGTTTCCACTATAAGTATAAAAATAGAGCTTTATAAAAATAACTTATTTTTTGGAAATAAATCAATTAAATACAAAAAAAATAAAAGCCAACTGCATTACATTCAAGTTCCGCTTGTTAAATAAGACAGCAATTAAAATACTCTTCTGGACGAGCAATGTTATTGCACGCTGGATACTGAGCATGTTGAATGACTCACTTTCAATAGCAAGGTAGATTTTCCGCTCGCCTTCTTTGGGCTCTTTTCCCGGAGGGAAGTAGGTGCCTCGGATAGTGATGGCCGCTTCTGAATATTCACTGATCCTCTGCAGAGCCTCCTTGGAGGTGACTTTCCACCTGGCTGTCTACAAACATTAATAATCTATTAAATACTGGCAGTCATTAAGGAATGTAAGCAAGGGTTTATCCAGCAAGAATAATATTAATAATATTAATCCTTGCATTTGACATTATCACGTCTTCAAAACACTTCACAGAATATACTGTAAAGTGAATTGATTGTATATTTTTGTGGGCAGCCAATTGCGTACAGCAGTGTCCCACAAACAGTCATGGATTGAGTGACCAATTTATTATTCCTTTTTTTTGTCTGGTTTAGACTTGTGATATCAGTGATGGATTTCTACTATGCAATCTAAAGAATTGTTTGGATATTTGAAATTTTGGGGTGTTGAAATTCCTTGCTTCAAATCTGCTTTTTGACCTCTCTCCCCCACTCTCCCCCTCCCCCCCCCCACCAATCGCCCACCAAATTAAAGATCAGACTCTAACCTGTGGGAAATCATTGATCTCAAGTTCTTCTTCATATCGTTTGAATGATTCTGTTTGTGCGCTTTCCTGTTTGTCGTCTTCTTGCTTCTCTGCTGGCACGTAGTTGAGTTTGGCATTGATCTTCTCTGCTTTCTGTTCTGCAATCGTCTTTGCGGAGACGGTGGGAGCCTGTAGCGTGCGTCCTCTCATGATGGCATTGGTAGCCTGCTGCATTACATCCTATATTTAGGGGAGAGAGAAAAAGTGAAATGCACTGAATAGTTTACTGATGAGTGAGAGGTAAATTAATGGAACAGGCTCCCTGGAGAGACAGATGGTGGAAGCAGAAAATGTTGTTTGTTTCAAGAACAAATGAGATCCATTTCTGCTAGAAAATAATAGTGTACCGTTTGGGACACGACATGTCAAGCGACTGCCAGGATGGTGGAAGGCCAACCAATTAGATGGATCTTGGTCTTCTGTCATCCAGTAAGTTTTTATGTCCTTATATGTCATTAGCACCACAGAAAGATTCAGAGTTAGTGCAGAGCATGTTGTTGGGAATAATTAACATTAGGAAAGATTAAAATATGTTGATACCAAGTTACATCCGTAGGTGACTAATACCACAAGAGGATAAATGGCATTCAATAAGCTGGGGGTAACTTTGAAGATGGGCGATTCATGTAAGATAATACGCTGGAACCAGAAAGAATGAACTTGTGCACATAATAAAAAGAGTATCCATTACCAAAGCTGGAGGACGAAAATGGCTGTGATTATTGACTGAATTGACTGACGATCTTTCTTAAATGGGAATCAGTAATCAACAAAGCAAATGAAGTTTCAGGTTGCACCTCAAAACCATTAACTGTAAATGAAAATAACTTTTCCTTGAATCTCTGAGAGTACCCACGCAGAAAATTTTGCGCAGTTTTCGGCAACCAATTTCGAAAGCTACATTGAAACACTGAAGAGACTCAAGAACATATGCCACTCTGTTAGTTCTGGCTCTGACTGATTTAGTTTCCTTGAAGTCTCATGGTAGATCCTATACTTCTGCCACGCACATAAGCACAAGTCATGCCCAATATTCAGTTTGTTCAAAGAGCAATGGTAATTATTATGACATGCTTCGAATAACATGCGGAAGTACGTAAATATTAAAGAGTAGAGGACCACGGACAGACCGCTGAGGAACGCTGTACATGATGGTGCGATGGCTGGAGGAGAAGCTGTTAGTTGATAGAAAATGGAGATGATGGGAAAGGTAAGAGTGAAACCAGGTACAGAATCATGAGAATGGAGCTCCATTAGATGGAGAGGAGTTGGAGAAGAATAGAGTGGTCAACTGTGTTGAATGCGACAGAGATCGAGAAGGATGAGGAGAGAGCCCTAGTATCAGATGGACAGAATGGCATTCCTAACTTTGACTAAAGTTGTTTCTGTACTGTGGGCAGCACGGAAACCAGATTTTCATTTATATTACTGAATGTACCTGAGCTGGGGGTGGAAGCCAAGTGGTGTGGAGAGGGGAAAGATAACTGAAAGCGTGGTTAAAAAGATATGCATCAAGACAGACCTTGATCGAGATAAGGAAGGGAGCAAATTGGAGGGAACCTGGGATGGAGTTTCAGAGAGCCAGGGCAGAATGACTAAAAAGCTTGCCTGCCAATGGGTTCACAGAGTGAAAAAAGAGAGTAATTTGTGGTGGGTAGTGTGGTGCCACATCATTTGCTGGTTTATTTTTCACTAAATCACAGCTCTCTGTTGTTTATACTGTTACAGAAGGCTTTCCAATCTCCCACAGCAGTGATCAATGTTCTGTATCCCGTTTTTTTCGATCTAACAAATCTTGCAGAACGCACAGGGAAAATAAATAAAAGCCCCAGCAAATGTTTCCCAGAAAAAAAAAGACATTCCCTTTAGCAGAGTGCCTAACGGACACAGAGATCTACCACAACACTTAAGTAGTGCAATTAATATTTGTATCAGTACAGAACAATAAAAAAAGGTCGATCCGAGTATGAAGACTTCATTATACTATGTGAATAGAATGTTAATATTACTCCAAGCCGGCACTGCTAGAAAAATAAACCATTTCAGAGTCCTTGTTCTTTAGGAATTGATTCTTACAACTGTTGCTCGGTGCTCCTGCAAGTACTCATCGCAACTGATTATAAAGATTTTGACCTTCAGGTTCATCGCGAGCAATTAAGTAAAATTAAAAGAAACTTCTACTGCAATTCTCTTCCACGTAAAATACCTACCCATCACTCACACAATTACTTTGCTGGGTATCAGACATCCCAGAAATTTTAAGTTAGATGCTAATGAGCTTAAAATACCTACGGCTATTAAAACCATTCAAATAATTTCCTCTTTTTTTTTCACACACGGTCCACGGTTAAACAAAGTTCTTCCTCCCTCTCATTTCCGTTCCCATTGGACAGGAAGGGGACCGATGAGCGGCGGCTCCGAGGTGATTGATAGGCTGAAGCAGCTTGTGAATGGTTGGGCACTCCATCCAATCACGAGCGGCTCCAGCTGTCAATCAATCGCAATTTGACGCCGCGTCTTCCCCGCTGATTGACAACAGAGAGCCGCTTGTGAATCCACTGTCAATCAATAGCTTTAATGGACTATAATAACTTGGTTTGGTCACTCAATCCACGACTGTGTGTGGGACAGACGCTGCGGTGCGCAATTGGCTGCTGCGTTTCGCCCACAATAGTCAATTCCCTTTACAGTCTATCCCGTGAAGCGCTTTGAGACGTCTGGAAGACGTGAAAAGCGCCTTATCAAATGCAAGGATTATTATTATTAATATCTAATAATAACGTTGCCTAAATTTTTTTAAAATTGAAGTTTAGATTGATTTCCTTGATCTCTTGCTCCAATGCAACCCACTTTTGAGTAATACCACTCTTACATTAGATGAACAACAACTACTTGCATTTATATAGCGCCCCGGAGAGATTCACAGCGAGAGTGACAACCCATGACCTGAAGGTCAAGGAATCCCAGTTCTATGTCGCTTAGCACCAATTAAAAAAAAAAAGACACTGAATACCTGTGCTTCTGCACCGAGGTTCTTCTGGGCATTGATCTTCAATGCCAGTCTCTTGGCGATCTCCAGTTTCTCTGCGTTCCCAGCAGATGGCACCGGAACATGAGCAGCTCCCGGCATTGCCATATCCTTCACTCTCTTCTTGGAATTAAACATGCTCTCAATTTGTTCGTCAATCTGAAGACAAAAGGCAGTGGAACGTTTCACTAAACGCAGCACAATAAATTCCGCAAAGTTCGACTGGCAATGTAGACGCTTGACATGTTAATAATCATCATTCGGAAGAAAATAAAAGGGTTCGATAAGGTTAACTGAGGTTGTTTTTACTGGTCGAGGAGTACGTAAGACAGGGGACATAGATATAAGAGAACGACTGAGGGATCAAAACGAGAATTTAGCAAGAACTACCTCACTCAGAGAGAGGGCAGTGAGATAGTGGAGCTCTCTGCCCTGAAGCGGGGATTGAATTAGATGGTGTGGATGTATTCAAGAGGCAGCTAATACTTCACATGAGGGAGAGTGGAGTAGAAGGGTATGGTAGGGAGCAAAGGAATGGATGGAGGCTCATGTGGGCTGAGTGGTCTGTTTCCGTGCTATATATTCTTTGTTAAAAATTCAGTATCTGCAATGCTTACATCAAGTGCAGTGTCTTCATCATCAGAATCCTGGAGACCCAAGGCAGCTTTCTGCAGTTTCTTTCTTTCATTTGCCAGAACCTGCTCCGTCTCATCGAACTTGAAGCCTTTCCCTGAGAAGCCGCTGCTCTTTTTGATAGTTTTTCCTTCCTTAATGCATTACGCAAATAGTTGGTGGAGGGGGAAGAAAAGAAAACGGTATGTAACTACTAGAATTTCAAAAATATACACTCTAATTACAAACACAATATTGTATTGGACAACATCAAAAAAGGTGAGTTTCACAAGTGTGAAATTATCTAACCCACGAGTCAGGTTACAATGAGTACTTACTGCTTTTTGCTGCTCTTTGAAGTCATTCCAGAATTTTTCGAGCTCAGGTGGAACAGCATTTCCTGACAGTTCCAAAGCCTTAATTATATCCCCTGCGTAACGAACTTGTTCCTCAGTAATGAATGTATATGCGTAACCCTACGAAGGCAGAGATGATGATCACTTGCACTTAATATAAATAAGCAATCGTGTTAAAATCAAACCTGAAATGCTCTATTTTGTCTGATGACCCTTTCTCATTCGCTCACCTTATTACCAGCTCTTCCAGTACGTCCAACTCGATGCACGTAATCTTCATAGTGATTGGGAGAACTGTAGTTGACAACAAGAATCAGCTGTTTCACATCCAGCCCACGTGAGGCAACTGATGTGGCCACAAGCAACCGACACACTCCTGTTTTAAAATCATTGATGATGCTGTCTCGGTCATATTGATCAATACCTTTAACAAAGCAAATTCCACGTTACAACACAATTAAAATACAATACAAAATTACATTTCACGTTGGAGCACGTCTCAAGGCGCTGGGCAGAACGTTAATGCAGAAAGGGTATAATTCAAGGAAGTTTTTAAGTACAAATACACTGCACTTTGCAGTAAAATCCTGAAAAGCACTTCGAAACATCTCGACAACGTAGTAAGTTGTTATATCAAAGACAAGGCTGTGTTGTTATTATTATTAGGCATTCACCCATTACAGATATTGAAATTTTGAAATCCGCGCTACACAAAAGTATTCCAATCCCACCGTGTTACCCAAAATATTAATTAGAAAAACGTTTTGGGGTTTCACAATAACTGTCACTAGAATAAGAATAAGATCTTTGGGGGTTGGTGGGTGGGTGGAGGGGGGGTGGATTATACCATCATCTGCGTTGTCGATATAAAAATGTAATTTGTTGTTGGTGTCCCAACCCATGAGGTCCTATTCTTTTGTTTTAACTGTACTACAAGAACAACTTGCATTTATATAGGAGAATGTCTCAGTGCTGTATAGTGGGTTGGACCATAGTCGTGGTTGAAGAAGTACGTTTTCAGACGGGATTTAAAAATAGTTAAAAAGAGGGTGCGATGCAGGGATTGAATTCCAGTAATTATGGGTGTAGTGGCAGAAGGCACAACTACCTATGGGTGGCGCAGAGATAAAAGGGGACTAACTGATTCCTACGTGTGAATATCAAGAGTGAAGACAGAAAATGCGCTGCTCCTTCTCACCCCACCACCGAACACTCTGTGTAGATAACACATAAGAATCCTTATAATAATCCTTGCATTTGATTTAGCGTCTTATCACGTCTTCGAGATGTCTCAAAGCTTTTCACTGCCAAGTGAAGTGACTGTGTGTTTTGCGGGCGAAATGTGGCAGCCAATTGTGCACAGCAGTGTCCCCATAAACAAGCCTTGAGTGACCAAATTTTATTATTATTTTGATATTGTACAATATATACCCTGCGGTGATAAGGCACTTATCACAGGACACATGAAGAGTGGCTGCTAACGTTCAAGGTGCTGCCATGCAACAATATTCCAGCACAAGTCAACACCGTGATGGGGGATAAGGTAACACTTAACCTACTGTGCACACATACCTCCGTGTAGTGACATGCAGGGGTAGGCTGCTCTCATCAGATCCTTCAGTAAGGCATCAGCATGCTCCTGTTTATCCACAAACACGATCACAGAGCCCTTTTCTTGGTAATGACCTAAAAGTTCCAGCAACTTCAGAAATTTGTTTTCTTCTTCTATGACAATCTGGAGGAAAGGAAATAAATAAAAGGGCTAAAGAATATTTATCTGATCTTTTCAAACCACAGTGGCTACTTGGCTCTCTTTTGTGTGTCACGAATGTCGCTGCGAAACACATTACGGTATCCTTGGTACGCCCTAGATATTGAATTAAATTTACTACAACCATTAGATTTATCCATGAGGCTTCAGCCATCGTCGCTAATGTCACTACCTGTGCGAGAGTACCCACTTCTGAACCTGCTCTATGCCAGGTCAAATTCTAACGGAGCCATCCTATACTTCATATTTTTTGGCTTGTAATACAACTGTACTAAGATTGATTTGACTGCATGTTATAGTAGAACACAGTCTCCCTTTATATATTGGAGAAAAGCAATATTGCATACATTCGGCGAGTTGATGCTGAACTTTTACATTGTTGTTCGTACCCCTAGGAAAATGGTAGCATTTAGTTTGCAAGTCTAGAAAAGAAGTTTGCTCTTAACAAACTTAACAAGATACAAATCCACGGATAGAAAACCAGAAAAAACAAAAGGAATGCAAAACATTTAGTTTGGAATTCCCTCGAAAAAGTTTGACTGCAAAAGATTGGAACCATTTGGATTTCAAGGCTTCACAATTAAAACGTGAGATTTAAGGTCAGGGCACAATGAATCGTAATTCAAGATAAACTCGTAAGCGAGGACGCACAGAAATGGTCTTTAATATATTTGGCACTTACCACATGTTGCTCTACATCAGAGCACACCACACTTCTGCTGCCCACTTGCACTTCAATAGGTTTGGTCAGGATGCGACGTGCCAAAGCTTCCATGGCTCTAGGGAATGTTGCAGAGAACATAACTGTTTGTCGATCCGGTCGAATGTTTTCAACTACTCGCATTACCTAGTAAGATAGAAACATGAACATTTTAACAGCTCTTTTTGTGATTTTCAGCACCATGGGAGTTAGTTTGGATAATTAATCTTTGTCGCCCTAATGAACCAAAAACACAAACTAAGGATTTTTGCAACATTGTTTAAAACACCTTTTTTGGATGAATGACAAAAATAAGACCGGAAATGCCAATTGGAACAGTAAATGAATGGTTCAAAACTGGGAAAAAAAAATTAAAATGTACCAACATAATGAATAAATTGCTAATTATGCATATTTTAAAATACTAATTGAAATGCAGCAGCATTTTGCAATAGAGCACTAATGTGCTGGGTCAAGACATGTGAGGAGGTGGGCTCATGCCCACAATTCCCCATGTAAAGTGATCTTGAGAAGAGAAATTAAACACAAAACTGTGAGTGTTTGAAATTTGAAAAAGCTAGAAATCTAAAGGAAATCAATCAGCATCTCGAAGAGAAAAATAATTGAATGTTTCAAGCACTTGAAATGAACTCGTGGTCTGCAGAAGCTCGAACAGAGGAGGGCAAGACACCTGCAAACCTATGCATTTTGTGTAAAGAGGACAAATACGCAAACACAGGTAAAAAAAACAGAACGTGAAGGTATACCACAGGTATGAATATCATATCAGATAGCAATGTATTGGAAAAAGGGGACATCTACAGTAGTCGCAATTTGACATTGTCATCGGAACTTGCGGCAGATCAAACCATCCCAGATTTGGCTGGAATGCTGCAGCTGCAGATCGGAGTCTGCTTTGATTGATCAACAAAACGTATGACTTCTGCGTATTAGAAATAATACGTTTTTTTTCAGAGGGACAAAAGTGCTTACCTGAGGCTCAAAACCCATATCAAACATTCTGTCTGCCTCATCAAGCACAACATAGGTAACTCTGCGAAGATTTGTCACACGACCTAGGAATAGCAAGAACAGAACTTTTAATAATTATAATAATAATCCATGCATTTGCTATAGCCCCTTATCATGTCTTCCGAGACGTCATTGAACATATTCAAGACTGAGATCGATAGATTTTTAAAGGGATTAAGGGATATGGGGATAAGGCGGATAAGTAGAATTAGGTTAGAAGATCAGCCATGATCTTATTAAATGGTGGGGCAGGCTCGAGGGGCCGAATGGCCTACTCTTGGTCCTATTTCTTATGTCTCAAAGAGCTTCACAGAATACACTGTAAAGTGAATTGACTGTATATTTTACTTCATTAAGCAAGGCTTCAATTATTTAAACCAATTCTAAATGCTGGACCCAAGAATCCAAAGTCATTTTTCCAAATTAAACACCAATTAACCCACGTTTCATAACTGCACTACACTTAAGTCTTCATTTCGTACTCATGTTATATTTCTGTTAAGTACAGATCATACAATGGGTTCAATACTAAGTGAAAGTGAAAGCAGTTGCCCATGTTTTCTAACTGTTCTCTGGCACACCTGCTAAATTCACAGAACTGCCCACCCACAAAATATAAACCCCCGTCACACAATTTTAGACAGAGATCAAGCAAGGAACCACATCAGCCATTATCTGAAAACTCTCAGCATTCACCTAGAAAAAGAACATATTAGAGATTATGCCGCATGTGTGGAAGACACAATCCTTGCTACTTGGTGTTAATTAATTTGCTAATGGCTCTTTAAACCTTCGAGCAGATGTACTTTATATTATGTAACAGCTAACAACCTCAACGAGGTTTAACGATGAAGCAGTGAGGACCTGCAGTTCCGTCTTTAAGCAAAAAAAGGTACTGAACATCTGAATAAGGTATAGTACAATATTATATCTATTAAGCAAGTGGAAACAAACATTTGAAATCGTTCCAATAGTATATATACCTTATATTCTAAAATGAATATGACAATTTCACAAGGAACCACAAGTTCAGTAACTGGATACTGCACAACTTGATTGTTGACCTACCTCTGATGGTTTAAGTCTTGCAAGCCCAAATCAAATATCTTGAGGAAACTTTCTCCATATGGGTCAAATAATGTTAACAGTTTAGTAAAGTGATATTCAATATCAAACAGTACTTGTCCAATATTAAACAGTATACTTTCTCATGCATTCAAATTAGCAATCAAATCTGGTATTAAACACATCATGTGATCAAATTTTAACAGGCACACATTTCCCCCAATTTGTTTTCTGGCAGCAGGGTCAGATTGAATTGAATTTTGCTAAATTTCTGTCTTAAAGAAAGTCGTTAAAGCTCTGGATATAACTGTGCATCTTTATTACACAATAAATTTTAAAGTAGATGGGACAAAGGATGATATTTTGAAGTAGATAAATAGATAAAGTAGATAAATATAGGCCAACAGATTTGATCAAAACCGAATATGCGCACAAGATATTTGTCTGTCAGCGAAGGTTGGAAGGAGTTTGGATGTGTTTGTCAATCATTCAGTGAAACTTTTCAGTCAATGTGAAGCCATTCTTAACAAGGATAACCCAATCTAAAAATACGTTTCAAGGACGTTTTATAAAAAATTGCTGTTTTATATTGATCACTTAGGAATATTGTGTACATTTTTAGGCAATCCACTTGAAAGGTACATTGTTGTATTGGGAAGGGTTTAGTGAATAATGAGATGCATAATTGCAGAATGAAGGGCCCTTGGTCTGAGGAGAGACTAATAAAAGGTAAATTTGTTTTTACTGAAAAGGACAGTACATGTTCTAGGGCTTTGAAGTGCCAGGAAGATAAAAGTTAATGATTTTCCTCTCTCGGGGTAAAAGATGTTTGGAACACATTCCTAGATGCACTAAATTAGATACTTAAGTTGAGATAATCAGTTCTTTCATAAACATAATTGGGGGAGGAAGGAAAAGAGTGATTGTGGAGGACTTTACTGGGGCTGAAAGTGATGGATGAACATTCTGGAGTTTGGCTCAGTTACAACTCCCCTCAGGAGATTAAATATATGCATCGAAGTCCATAGGCTTAATGTATATAAGGGCCTTTTCATATTTCATGCTTTTCTATGTTCTGATCAAAGTACAATTTAGAACAGTTTTCTTAAATAATAATATTTATCCTGGCATTTGATATAGCTTATCCCGTCATTGAGATGTCTCAAAACGCTTCACAGAAGATACTGTAAAGTGAATTGACTGCCATCAATATGTATTTATTCTGCAAATTAAACCAACGTTTTCTTCTTTAAATTTTATTTACCGTTCAGTTTTATCCAGAGTTTTGTTTTTGTTCATTTTAGTTGAAGAATTATCCCAATATTAAAAGAGGATCCTTGTGCAGGCAGAAGCACTCAGTCCTTTACACATCCCGACAGATTGTGTTGGAAATGAGACCAATCGATCAATCATTATCAGCAGCTGAAAGGATTCTCTACAGTGCCCATTGTTTTGAATGAAGCAGATGCAACAAACTGCTGTCTGGCAGCAGGGTTGACACAAAGGATATCCTCTAGTCAGTGTCACATGCGTGCAGTTTAATTATTCTATATACCACGTGAAACTGAGTCCAGCCGGCAGATATACTTTGTAAGGATTTCCTCAGCCCGGCAACAGTGGAGCAACTCGCTCAGCCGATGATCTTATACTCTCTACAAAAGTCCTTCAATTGCTTAAAAAAAAACATACGGAACATGCTGAGGAAAAGTGCTTCCTCCTACAACAAAAATCCTCTTTAAGTTGGTTCAATGTATACGCGACATTAGATCAGCAGTGAAAAGTGCAGCAAAACCCCAGCTGTTTATGTCTGCGTCCCTTTTACTTACCATTATTGGCGGCCAGCATATCGATCATGCGACCTGGAGTGCAAACAATGATTTCCGCTCCTCGTTTCAATTCTGCAATCTGGATATAAAAACGGAAAAAGTTTTTTTTTTTGAGAACAATTTAATTTTTGCAAAAATCTTAAAAGCATTTTGAGCCACAGCATAAACGTAGAGCACAATCTAATTTGTTGAGAGAGAAAGAATGGCTGGGAAAATATTTTCCTCACAAATTACGTATCAACTTGTATCAATAATTCATTTACAGATTAGACTGCATTCAGGCGCACAGCCCCTGACGTTTCTAGCTTTTGCTTCCAAAACAGTGTAATTATAACAATCCTTACATTTGATATAGAGCCTTATCACGTCTTCGAGACGTCTCAAAGTGCTTCACAGAATATACTGCAAAGTGAATTGACTGTATATTTTGTGGGCTAAACACGGCAGCCAATTGCGCACAGCAGCGTCCCCACAAACAGTGGTGGATTCAGTTACCAATTTATTCTTTTTTTCCCCCCAGTAGCATGCAATGGTCAGCGTCATCAGGAGAGAATAGAAATGATGTGAAAATTAACCAAAATCTTACCTGCTCACTTATCCCGGTTCCACCATAAACGCACACTACTCTCAATCCCAATGCTTTCGAGAATTTCTTGCATTCTTTGGTAATCTGAAGGGCTAATTCACGAGTTGGGGTCAGGATGACAGCTGTGAAAACAAAAATGTATTCATTACAATATTGGCCACAAGTTCAAGTACAAACCAAGACCTCCAGTGTGCTAAATACATAAAAACGTCAAGGTTAATATGTCAAGATATAGGAGATTTATTTTAATAAAGGATTTTCAGTTCTCTGTTAGTTACAGTACAATATTTCAAAATGCTGTCATAAAATAAGATCTTCAATCATACACTACAGAGAAATAAGTCTGAAGAATGCCACCATAAAGCCACAGCTCTAATCACTGGGGAATGGCAATGGATGGAATAAGATATTGTTTCCTCCAACTTAACTTTGTCTTTTTGTTTCTGACTCCCAAAAATTGCTCAATCACTTGTTGCATCTTTGTCACCGACAACATACACAGGGCGCTCACTCCCCTTTACAATATATCGTGTGAAGCATTTGAGACATCCTCCCAAAGTGAATGGCGCCGTCATATCAAATAGAAAGATTATTATTCATGAGATGCCCTCTTGAACAGAATTGTGTGTCTATATATGGATAAGGTTCATTTGTTTTTGCTGTTGAAGTAATGTGATCTCAATAAACCTCAGGGTGCACATATAATGTGGGATTCAAACCAAGTTAAATCCATCAACATAAGCATATTTTCTCTTTGATTATTGCACCAGATTCTTCCCTTTAGTTGCAAAACATTAAAATTTAGCATGCAAATCACGGGCTAGTTCATACTAATACCGTACTTCAAATTTATTCAATATCATTAAGTCATATCATCATGGACATTCCCCATACCGGTGATATTACAGAGAATACAACTCAACTTTGCAGCCGCAAATTATTATTATACGTACGAATGAGTATACATGGATGAATTATAATACTGTAATCCAATAATTCAGGTTATTTATGTATAACCTGATGGATAGCCTGAAGCAAGTTTCGAAGCTACAATCTAATGTAGGGGTTCAGAAAACATCGTAAAGCACAAGTATGAAATTTAACTCAAAGATCAGATGACAGCTTTGCAATAATGACCAATTAATGCTTAAATGAGAGGTGTGTGGTGGATTCAGTTTACAGCTTTAATAATATCTGTCTGTATGTATGAATGCTATGAACACTTTTGCCTATTTAGGTGAATCTATAGTATAGTTCTGGTCATTGTCAGCACATGGTTGAGAAGTTCTAAAATAATAGCGTAGCAGTAAGAACAAAGGATGCATAGAGGTAATGGAACATCAAATTCATCCAGTGTATATAGTCAATTGCCTTTACAGTATATCCTGTGAAGCACTTTGAGACGTCTTGAAGACATGATAAGGCACTATATTAAATGCAAGATTATTATTATTATTATAATTATTATTAACACTCACAGACTGGACCTTCTGCTTCCTCGAGTGGCCTCTGATCCATGATGTGTCTGAACATGGGTAAAAGGAAAGCGATGGTTTTGCCACTTCCAGTTTTGGCAATTCCAATCAGATCGCGTCCAGACATGATTGCAGGGATCGCCTGAACCTGAATTGGTGTTGGCTTCTCATACCCTTGCCTAACAGGATCAGAAAAAAAACATTAAAGTCATCTTTTATTGGAGCCCGGGGAGAAAAGTTTCTTTTTATTATAAAAAAAATCCAATAAAATAACACTTCATAAGATACTAACTTCTTCAACGAACTTAATATCTTCATGGAGATGCCACACTGCACCCAGGATTTAATAGGTTTTGGACACCCTTTCCCTCGAACTACAATTCCCTCCAGTTCCAATCTGTAGATATTCACCTCTGAAATGCAGCAAAAAAATGCTTCAAGATATTGACGGAATTTGAAATGGAACAAAACGTCTGTTGCTCGTCCACCGGTTTGCACATTATTCTGAATAAGATTTTAAATTGCTTTTCTAAGAGCCGGACGGACATCTGCAAAATAATTTACACTCTCATATAAGTACTAACCCTCTGGGCTCATCTTAGCAAGTTCAGGAACTTCAACATAAAAATTCTTTCGAAATGCTTCGTATTCTATTTTCCCGTGATCCACTGGCTCCAGGAGCTTCCTTTGCTTTGTCTGATAGCCGGTAAGTGCCGTCTGAAGGTCAACTTCCTCTTCCTCTGAGGAGTACTGTTCAACAACAACAAATTACACTTATATAGCGCCCTCCACGTCAGAAAGACCTACCAGGGCGCTGGACAATCAGGTTTTTTTTGGACCCGAGCTGGGAGTTGGGGTCAGAAGGGGAGGAGGGCAGGGGGCTGGGGGTGGGAGGGTGACCGAAGGCACGATTGAAGAGAAAACTATACATATTAAACATAAATAATTATGAAAAGGCAACACAAACATAAGAAATGCTAGACGAAAAAAGTAAGGTCCATCTAGTTCGCCTTCCAGACGGTCGCATGCACATACATACCAAACTACTTTGCCAAAGGTTTCGCTCCCTTACCTCCATCGCGTCCTGGTCATTCTCCATTAACTCTCCTTTCTTTTTCTCCAAATCACAGTGTGGTTTTTTGGTGGTTACTACAGTCATGACTTTTGTAACTGTTGCACCCGTTTTCTGGTAGCAAAGCAGACAGAAGAGAAATCATACTTCCACACACACTGACTGTTAACAACCATTTCCAATTGAACACCAGACAACAAGTGAGATGTGTTTCACAACAAAAATCACACAACAAATATATTGGGTAAAGATATTATCTGATTCACTTTAAGGATATCCTGTGAATCGCTCTGAGACGTCTCAAAGACATGATAAGGCGCTACATCAAATGCAAGGATTATTATTATTATTATTATTAAGAGGCAGTCTTTTCATAGAAATCTGGAATGCACTGCCTGAAATAGTAGGTTTCAAAGGGGAATTGGATAGGTACTTGAAAAGGAAAAAATTGCAGCGTTATGGGGTAAGAGCAGGCAGTCGGATGAGTTGGTAGCTCTTTCAAAATAGTCAACACAGGCATGATGTACCATTTCTTTGCGCACCGTTTCATCTCTACTGCTTTTAATTAACCCATTCGTGGGCAGCAAGAATATCACTAACATCCACACATTGTGTAATGCTGAATTGTCTTCATATTTCCAAAAAATATTTCAAAGTGATTTTGTAAGCAGCAACAGCCTATAAAACAGCCTTTACCTTTTCACTTCCACCTCTTACACTTCCTATGTTAAATTTCTTCACTTCCTCCTTAATATCTTCCATATAAGCATCCAATGGATCCAACTCTTCATTGTCTTCTTCGCCTTCCTCTTTCCTTTCACCTTCTATCATCTCATCCTCATCGTCTATTCAACAAATTCAGAGTCGGGTGAAATCAGACATACACATAGCCAAATATGCGTTGCACATAATTTAAATGGTCATTCTTTTAAACAAAATAAAAATCTATATTTTAGACAGTGTTAAAACATTGAAGTTGGTCACACGGTGTTCAAATCTCAGTGAATTAGCTTTTAGATACGTAGAGGCAACAGAACAAGAGGGCACAAAATCAGTTGTACAAGGCAGTTTTGAGACTGACCCCTGGAAGAAATCAGCAGCTGAAGGGGTTACCAAAAAACTGGTAGAAGACAGCACAATGGAATTTAAGAAATGGCTTGGCAAAGATGGTAGGACTGGTATTTCTCCCACAAAATATAGTCACTCCAATTTACAGTATATTGTGTGAAGCGCTTTGAGACGATCTTGAAGACGTGATAAGGCGCTATATCAAATGCAAGGATTATTATTCTGGAAAGATAGGCCCTCTTCATCCAAACTGATCTTCTGATCCCATTTAGAAATGTTATCGACCACTTTCTAAAAGAATAACATATTAAGAAAATTACCTTCATCATCCTCAAGGCTCCATTTCTTGCCCTGTTTCATCTCTTCAAGTTCCCTCTTTATTTCCCCGATATTTTCCATGGCCTTTTTACGTTGCTCTTCCCTCCATTTTTCAACTCTTTCCTTTCGTTTCCTCATTTCTTCCTCCAATTTGCTTTGTTCGAAGTTCTTTTAGTTTTAAGAAACCAATAAATATTTAAATGAATTAGTGTAATAAGAAGAGGATAATAAGAGGGAGCAGATAATAAGGACAATAAGCTCCAATGCAACATTAATCCAAACAGTAGCCTTTTTACTGTTAAATCAAATTTTCTACTCTGCAGGTACACTATCTAATGCCTTGCATATTAATATTTTACTGGTACACAAACAAAATCATCAAGGAATATGGTTTCCTCTATCACATTACTCTGTTCCTGTTTTTTATGAACCATACTAATGAAGAAATCAAAGAGCAGCACAATTCCTATACACTTACACTGACGTCTTTCTCATCATCTTTTTCCTCCTTTTTCTTCTCTTTGACAGTTTCATTACTGACATCAACTCGGTCTTTAGATTTTGACCTGAAAAAGAAAAAGCATCATTAAAACTTTAGATGCTCTGAGGAATCTGATTCCATTTCTAGGGTAAGGGCCCTCAATTTAAATTAGATTCCATCCACTTTATTTATTTTTGAATGTTGTTTAGACACCATCATTGGTGACATGATCATGAGTAACTAGATTGAAAAAGTTACAGAGGGTTAAACAAGTGTCAGGAAGCAGAATTTAATCTAGGCATGAACATTTTTAGCTAACCTGGTTGACAAGTCACCTGTGTTGAATGCTAATTAGATCCGTTATGCTATTGGCATTAGTGATCTTTTCTAACTCAATAAAGCCAATAATGTCATCCATTATATGCAGTTCAATTACAACAGCATTTTTAAAGTAAAAACTGATACAAGCAGAGCAAAGTAACAACAAATGACATTTGTACAGCGCCTTTCATGTCAGGAGTACGTCCCAAGGCGCTGGACAGTCAGGGATCCGCACCTGAGCTGGTGGTTGGGATCAGGAGGGGTGGATGACGGGAAGGATAGGAGGTTGACCAAAGGCGGTTGAAGAGGAGGGTCTTGAGACGGGTTTTGAAATAGGTAAGGGAGGGGGCGAGGCGAAGGGACTGTGGGATGGAGTTCCAGAGGGTGTGGGCAAAGGATATTAAAAGTCAAAATTTGGGGAAGGAGCCCTGATGGCAAAGACTCAATAATTAGAAAACTTTGATCAGTTGATGATAAGAGTCATGAAGTTAGCAGATCAGAGCGGTAAACAAATGGAGCTCATTTGAGCCAGGATTCTTCAAAACAAAAAGAACTCTTTGCTTCAGCACCCTTTCACTTTATAGCTGAGAATCGTGTAACCCATTACCGTCTCTCCTTGCTCTTGCTCCTGCTGCGTGAGCGGGGTTGGGAGTGGGATCTGCGGCCTCGGCCCCTACTGTTGGATCTCCGTTTCTCTCGACTGCGAGACCTCCTCCGCTCCCGACTCCTGGACCGTCTACAAAATGCAAATAGGCATTTTAACGACTTGGGAAAACGTGCCACCACACACATCGCTAGCTTCACACAACACTGTTGCTTTCATTATCTTACTCCAAATCACGGTTACAACTTAGTGGGAGTCTGAAAATTTACAAAAGACTTAAACAAATAGATAACAGTCGATTTATAAAGTCAAAAGTATATGTATATATGAAAGTAAGTGTAATCTTTACCAATACTAATCGATTTTCAATTTAGTACTGGATCAGTCATTCCTGTTGTATATAAATTTGGTTACAAGTAGCAATTCTGTCTGTGCCAATCGCATAAAACAGGATCCCACTGTACAGAGGCTTTTAATCAACAGGAACTGAAAACCATATTTAATCTGAATCAGTTTGCATCCTGGATGGTAAAAAGTTAATTATACATTCATATCTACTCACTTTGATGTGACCACTGACATTCTGGATCTTTGTGGCATTCTGGGTGAGATAAAATTAAGTTTTTAATGAACAATTAGAAAGAATGGGGCGAAAACACTCAACAGTCAAAACATACTAAATTGGCAGGGATCCCTACATGGCTCGGAAAGGGAAGGGCACCCTCTGGTTGCCACTAAGCCATACAGCTTTGGAAGATCCCAGGTTTCATCCCTGGTTTCTGCTGAATTTGCTGAGTTCCGGCAGGTTGGCAATGGTGGAGTGCTACAATGGCCTATGTCCATGGGCTGGTTCTGATCCATTGATATGAACCTTTCACTTTTAACCTGCAGCAATAGCGAAACTGAGCCAGATAATGGACGCAGCAGCTAAAGATTTGAAGCGTGGAATACTAAACATATTGCTGCCTACAATGTGCCATGCTTAATATGCCAGTCACAAATCTGTCTTCAGTAACCCCTGCCTAAAAATATGAATTTCTTGAAAATCTGCCGAAGATTGGACCACACATTGCTGGGACACCCACACTGGACTAACAGCCATGGTCGAGGCCTCTACATAAAGAGCAGCTGCTTAGGTAAGATATGCAAAGGTTGTTGGTGGCCATAGATTTGCACCCCATTGACAAACCTTCAAGAAATAAGTATTGGATGGGGGAGGTGGGTAAGAGAATCAAAAATCTCTGAAGACGGACATTTCTCTGCCACTGTGAATTCGACAAATTTTAGTCAGACAACTCTTTGTGAATCTGATATTTGGGGTTTCTGACTATTTGATAAATGTTATAAGAAAAAAAATACTCAGAAGCAGAGAGTTTATGATCACTCGGTACATACAGAACATACAAGACTTGCACAAGGTAATATTGTTTTTGTGCGGAATCATCTTGCAGGTGTGATAGGGCTGCTCAGTGTGACAAGTTTAATGACCCACATTGTTTATTATACTCACTACTTTTTCCTTCCCACTGCTACTACTCGCTATCCAGAACATGTTATGGGCAGTGAGGCTTATCCAAATTCTTTAGGGCAAGCAAAAATGATATCTCACATTTAATACTCCTCGGTGACGTGTTTGAGAATGGAATGAAAGAATCAAGACAACCCTCTGTGGCGGTCTTGGTAATTCAGTTCCTGAGTCAGGCACGTCCACAGTATTCCAGTGCATTGCTGATGACAGCACAGCCCAACTGGCTGATTGGCAGGACTTGTAAAAGCAGGTCTGTCACTGAGGGCAGGAACCTTTCCCACCCAACCATGGAAACTAAAGCCTGAACAGGTTGGATGGTCCTAGTTGGACAAGCCACAGGAAAGCTTGCCAAACAGTGCCTGCAATGGCAAGCTGCGTGGTTTTAGCTGGTTAGATTCCAGCAGTACCCCAACACAGTCTCTGAGATCCCCAAGCCTTGGCTCTTGCCAACTTGTGCCTAATAATCTCTGGAATTAGGATGTGTCTCTCCAGGGAGAGAGTGCACATTGCATTTAAAAAAAAACTGGAATTTCCGTGTATAAGTGGGATGCTTGGAAGTCTCAATTTGATTGGATATTCTTGAGCATTGTGAAGGGTTTCCACAATTGTCATGGCTGATTAAAATAAAATAAATCAACAATGTACAGCAATTAAATTGTTACTTTAAAGTTTCATGCTTGAGGCTTTTCTGAAATGAATCAATTCCACAATAACAATCCTTGCATTTGATAAAACTCCTTATCATGTCATCAAAACTTCCTGCAAAGTGCACTGACTGTGTATTTTGTTGTCAAATGCAGCAGCCAATTTGTATACAGCAATATCCCACAAACAAAAATATACAGTCAATTCACTTCACAGTATAGTCTGTGAGGCGCTTTGAGATATTTCGAAGATGTGATAAGGAGCTATATCAAATGCAAGGATTATTATTATTATTATTATTAAGTGAATAACTAATTCAGGAAGAAACTCCCTTCTCTAACAATGCTATGGTATCTTTAACATCCAAATGAGCAGTCAGATGATACCTTAGTTTAACATCTCATCCGAAGGACAGAACCTCCAACAACGTAGTTCACCTCCACAGATGTTAATCTACACTTTGAGCTGTAGTCCCAACGTGGGGCTGGAACCCACAACCTTCTGACTTGGAGACGGGAGCACTACCAACTGAGCCAGGCTAACACCCTCCACATTAGCGCTCCAAGACTCTACCCGCATGAAGGGCACTATATAAATGCAAGTTGTTGCCTCTGTATATACATGTATATATTACTGTCATCAATCAGGTGATGGGAATATCTACTGGGTTCCCAATAAATCCAACAGAACTGATACTGAGTGCTCACAATAAGAATGTTCTTTTTTCTTTACAGGTCGATCATAACACACATTCCTTTTGCTAGTGTGTTGATAAAGACACAAATAACAATCGCCAAATAATATGGTGATGACAGAGTCTGCAGGTGAGAGTACAGTTCTTCTTCAAACCAGATTTATTCTGCATTAATTTACAGGATTCATAGAATCTTAATTGTGAGCAAGTAGATATTAATAGGCTCCACTCACAGAATAAACATGACTGCCAAAGTTCAACAATTCTGTCAATATTTACTGATGGTCACAAACAAGGTTCCAACACAATTTATGCTGGGACAGTGTAAAACAGATGATAAAGCATTTTGCTGGGTCTCATGTATTAATCAACAATCTACATCAACACAATTTGGAATATTCTTTATAGTCCCAATAGAGTCTATTGTTATCAGAGGAACTTTTATTCTAGGATTGGAACTTATTATTGTTGACTACCAATCATTACAGTTACTTTGCCCACAATTAAAAGCTGTGATGTTTACTCCTTTTGTACAATAGTATTAAGAAAATCACCTGAGTCGTTTTCTCTCCCGTGATCGTGATCTTCTCCTGTCTCTGCTGCGAGATCGATCCCTCCTCCGATCCCGTTCCCTGCTGCGTGAACGACCTCTGACATCTCCAGGTTTTGACCGCTTCTCAGCGGGTGATCGACTTCTGGATCGGCTCCCAGAACGCCCTCGCGACGCGGACCGTTTCCGGTAATGCCTTCAAAAGTCGGAAAACTTCTATTAAGGTCAGTTTTAAAGCGAGGGAAAATATAAAACTGACTTTTTTAAAAAATAAATAATCCTGGGAAGCTTCACTAACAAATACTGTACTAACATCTCCCTCCTAAATAAAACAGGGACAACTGCAAATCCTTATTCATTCATACAATAACAATCCCACCAGTAATTTTTTTTTGAGTCAGTAATAATACCAAGCACTATATTAATACTAATATTAAGATAGATAAGTCTTGTTTCTTCAAAATAATTCTTTAAACAATTTAGCACCTTTCATGTTAGGACAGCAATTTTAACAAATAAACTACAGTAATAAAAAATCGCCAACATTGCAATGCCAGTAAACCATTTCAAAATTTGCGCAATATTAATGGCAAAGCAATTTTCCTCAAAAGCCAAAAGTTGGGTCAACACTTTTTCATGAGACTGCAGCATCAGTGTCATTTCATAGCATTTTAAAGAGGCAGCATTTTTATTGAACAGTGACACATATTCACATGAAACGTGTGGAACAATTTATAATGAAAACGCTCCATTTAATCCTGATTTTAACAACAGCTTGAATTTTGTGTCCTTTGCATACTCATGTTTCACCGACAAAATAGAGAGTCAATTCACTTTACAGTATATAATCTGTGAAGCGCTTTGAGATATCTCGAAGTCGTGATAAGGCGCTGTATCAAATGCAAAGATTATTATTAACGACTCGTATTCGGGTGAAACGCTCTCTGGCACCACACGCTGCTGACAATCTGATCACAAAGTTCAAGTTTTTTTTTAGTACTTCCTTCCTCTCCCGCGCCAGGTGAGAATGGTACAATAGATAGTGCGGGGACACAACATGTCAAGCGACTGACTTGGCGAACCCGATGGACCTTGGTCTTCTCTCTTTCGCCCAGCAAATTCTTATGGGCTAACTCAGCCCCGTCTCGGGGGGAGTGGGGGGTGGGGTGGAGAACCTCATCTGTGAACCAATTGACGACTTGAACCACAAGGAAGAAAACGAAAACTCTTGTGTGCTTTTTGAAAGTAATTAATGAATGAAAATAAAAAAGCTTTTTAAGTGTGTGTGTGTGTGGCGGTGTAGGTGTGTGTTTGTGTGTGTGTGTGTAGGGTTGTGCGTGTGGAGGTGTGTGTGGGGGGGTGTAGAGATGTGTGTGTAGGGGTGTGTGTGCGGGGAGGGGGTGTGTAGGGGTGTGTGTGGAGGTGAGGTGTGTAGGGGTGTGGGTGTGTGTGTGTGTGGAGGTGGTGTGTGGGGGTGTGTGTGTGTGTAGGGGTGTGGGTGTGTGGTGTGTGGGGTGTGGGGGGGTTGTGTGTGTGGAGGTGAGGTGTGTGTGTGTGGGGGGGTTGTGTGTGGAGGTGAGGTGTGTGTGTGTGTGGGGTGTGTGTGTGTGGGGGGGGTGTGTGCGTGTGTGTGTGTGGGGGGTGTGTGTGTGTGGGGGGGTTGTGGTGTGGGGTGGGGTGTGTGTGTGGGGGGGTGTGGTGTGTGGTGTGGGGGTGTGGTGTGTGGGGGTGTGGTGTGGGGGGGTGTGGGTGTGTGTGTGGGGGGTGTGTGTGTGGGGGGGTGTGTGTGTGGGGTGTGTGTGTGGGGGGGTGTGTGTGTGGGTGTGTGTGTGTGGGGGGGGTGTGTGTGGTTGTGTGTGTGTGGGGGTGTGTGTGTGTGTGTGTGGGGGTGTGGTGTGTGGGTGTGGTGTGTGTGTGTGTGGGGGTGTGTGTGTGGGGGGGTGTGTGTGTGTGGGGGGGTGGTGTGTGGGGTGTGTGTGTGGGGGGGTGTGTGTGTGGGGGGGGGTGTGTGTGTGTGTGTGGGGGGTGTGTGTGTGTGTGGGGTGTGTGTGTGGGGTTGTGTGTGTGTGTGGGGGGTGTGTGTGGGGTTGTGTGTGTGTGTGGGGGGTGTGTGTGGGGTTGTGTGTGTGTGTGTGGGGGGTGTGTGTGTGTGTGTGGGGGTGTATGTGTGTGTGGGGTGTGTGTGTGTGTGTGTGGGGGGGGGGGGTGGGGGGGTGTAACAGAGCCACCCACTGAATCTCCGGGCACAGCGGTCCCAGCGCATGTGTGTACCGCACTGCGCTGAGGAGCAGAGAGCGAGGCCCGGGGCCACCCTGAGCGGTTGCTGTTGGCCGGAGGAGAGGGTGAGGGGGTGAGGGTGAGTGACATATATAACCGCCCCAGGCCCTGCCCTGCCCGGCCCTGCCCGGAGCGGTGCGGCCTAGTGCGCCCGGGAGGGGGAGGGGGAGGGGCGGCGGCCGCGGCCTAACGACAACAACACATGACACAGGTACACGGCGCCTTTCACGTCGAGAGGGCGTCCCGTCGCCCTGACCTCCCCCTCCCCCCCCCCCACCGTGACTCCCCCACCCCCCGGGGGCCGTGTGTACTGCACTGACCCCCACCCCCCGCCGCCCGTTACCTGGATTCTCTCCCCATTTCGCCCGGTGCCTCCGCCTCCGCCGCCTCCAACAACAACAACAACAACAGGACCACCGGCCCTCACGACAACCCCCTCCTCCTTCACACACACCCCCTCCCCCCCCTCCTCCTCCCCTCCCCCTCACACAACCTCTCACCCAGGCCGCGAGCGACGAGCAGCGCAACCCCGTGGGTGACAAGAGGTAACCTCTCCCCTCCACACACACACACACACATACACACACACGCGCCCGCGCGACACTCACGCGGCGCCGGCGTTGCCGCCCCCCTCAGGTCAGGAGGACCAGTGAACCCGCCGAGCTGTGCTTCGGCAGCGGCGCCCGGATTGGGCGGGCTTCGCGCCCGATTGGGCGGGATCGCACCCCAATTGGGCGGGTTTTGCTTTTACGTGCTATCCAATAATAATCCTAGTTTTTGATATAATAATAATAATAATACTAATCCTTGCGTTTTGATACAGCGCCTTAACAGGTCTTCTCGACGTCTCAAAGCGCTTCACAGAACACACTGTAAAGCGAATTGACTGTATATTTGTGGGCGAACGCGGCAGCCGATTGCGCACAGCAGTGTCCCACAATCAGTCGTAGATTGAAAATGACCAATTTATTATTGGTTTTGGTTTTGGAGGGATTAATGGGCCAATATGGAGGAAAAAGTTGGTCGAATTTGATGAAGGGAGAATTTCTGACGCTCATCACTCTCAGTGATGCTAGTGATTGATATTCTTTGCCTTTTGTTCAGCTGCCAATTAACAGTGACAAGGTGGATTGACGTTGCCTCCCCTTTTTTTTGGAGTTATTACCCCCGGAAATGCAATCCGCCAATCGACTAATAACTGGGTCCAATTACTGCTTGGTAAACAGAGGCATGTGGAGTAAGGAAACTTGCTCAAAGTTTCGCCCTGCCTGGGAATCGAACCCAGGTCTTCTCGCTTGCAAGGCAGGTGCTCTAACCACTAAACTACAGGACTCCACAATTGGGTAATAAGAAAATTATTGAGTGGAACTGCATTGCCAGGAAGGGTGGTTGAAGCCAGGACATTGGACTTATTTAAGAAATGGCTCGATGCTTTAGTGGTCAGAAGACAGAGTGAGTTTCCTGAAGGGATGAGATCAAATGGATTGAAAAACCTTCTTTATCTGAACTTCTCCTGATCTTCTAAATCCTTCACCCCAATCTATTGCAATGCTGGGAATATTTTCTACTTCAATCGTGTGAATATGCCCACATCTGCATGCCCACATCCCCATTAGATTGGGGTGAATCTGTTAAAACTGCCAATTAGTATTACCAAGTGTTTGCTTCCTCTAAGAAATGGGTTTAGACTGTCACATTCATCACTAGAACCTTACAGACAGCAGAGAGAGAGAGAGAGATCTTTCATCGCAAGGAGTTGGCTAAATATAATCCTAGTTTCAAAGACAAGAATAGCAGGAGTTGGCCTCCAAATCAACATGGTCTCGGAGGTTTAGAGGAATGGAATAACTTGAAAAGAAATGTTAAGGAAATGTATCATTATTGATACAAAAGTAAGCTCTTTGCCGCTTGTTGCAGATTCTTCAAAGGTGTACATTGTATGTGTCAATAATTCATCACGAAATATATATGCAATCAAAGATTTGTTATAATTAGTAATTAGCCACGGCTTTTCAAGATTCACTTATATGATGAAGTTAATATAATGCAATATTGATTTTATTTCAGAATCCGATTGCCCCGTTTGATGACTCACTGCATTTGTGTTCAAAGGCAAAGCATTCATTAGTGGACAACAGGTGATGGAGTCTCAGTGCTTAAAGAATTGCCGCCCCCAAGAAAGCAATTATTAGTTTTCTATCAGGGAGAGTGCTGAAATGTGGGAAATTTGATGCTGGAACAACAGCCACAACAACTTGCATTTATATAGCGTCCTTCACGCCAGACGGTGTCTCAGAGCGCTATATAAAGCAGAGGAAACAATGCCCCTCACGAAGTCATCTCAAATGCTTCGGGAAAGGAGATCGAAAGCACGGTTGGAGAGAGAAGTCTCGAATAATAATAATCATTTGATACATGAGGAAGCATTTATAGAAACAGATGAGCGAGGAGACATCTGGGAGAAATATGCTGTGGTGGGGGGGTGATAAACAATAAGGTTCTTGAGGAAGAGGTTAGAGGGGTGGTAGACAGTAAGGTGTTGGATTCTGAGCAGCAATTTAGCTTGGAAATCCTCATTCTCCATTTTTCCTGTAACCCCTACCTTTGGAGTTTACTGCAACATTCTGACCACAACAAATGACATTTGTCTAGCGCCTTTCACGTCAGGAGGACATCCCAAGCCGCTTTACAGTCAGGGATCCGCACCCAAGCTGGTAGTATGGGATCAGGAGGGGTGCAGAGCGGGGAAGGTAGGTGTAAGAGGGTGACCAAAGGCACGGCCGAAGAGGAGGGTCTTGAGACAGGTCTTGGAGGAGGCGAGGGATTACTCCAATACTATAACCTCTACTCCAGTACCTAACTTCAATAAAAACTGATATCTGAACCTAATTCACAGCTCTTACTAGGGTCGCAGTGATAGTGTAGTAAGGTCATAACATGAGTCAGGGTATCACCACATAACCCATACTCGCCCATTCGTCTTTCATGTTTAAGTAAGTAGAGAAATCCTTTCGTAATAACTGTCACTGGCCTCGATATTTAACCTTCTAAACCGAAGACTCACTCTTTGATGTTACCCACTAGTCTCTCTTCTCTGGTAGGTTTCTGCTCACACTACACACTGGGTCTCCCATCAATTACAGAGAGGTGATCCTACTTAGTAAAACCCTTTATTTGGGTGAGTACTTGTGACTTAGTACAGGTCATCCAATGGGGGATCTGATCCCAAACCACCACCAATAATACGCAACGCTACACTCACAACGCACTTGATTCTCAATAAAGCACAGGGCTATAACATTAGATCACAAATACTAACAACTACAAGTCACAACTGCCGTTATACACTCACTGATTGACATTCATCAATTTATTCTCCATCAATGGCCTAATGCTGAACAGCTCAAAATACTGTTCCTCCACAATCCACGGTGGAAAGACAAAATCTACAATTATGCTGCTGAAATAAAAATAGAAATCGCTGGGAACATGCAGCAGGTCAGGCATCATCTATGGAGAGAGGAAAGAGTTAACGTTTCAGGCCGAAGACCTTACATCAGACCTCAATTGTGCTTCTGACTTGAGTTCCACAATTCACAGGAAGATAAGAACAGAAGAAATAGGAGCAGGAGTAGGCCATTCGGCCCCTCGAGCCTGTCCCGCCATTTAGTAAGATCATGGCTGACCTTCTAACCTGATTCCATTTATCCGCCCTATCCCCATATCCCTTAATCTCTTTAGTTTTTAAAAATATATCGATCTCAGTCTTGAACATGTTCAAGGACTGAGCATCCACAGCCTCTGGGATAGAGAATTCCATAAATTCACTACACTCTGAGTGAAGAAATATTTTCTCAACTCAGTTCTAAAGGGCTGATCTTTAATCCTGAGGCTATGATCCCTAGTTTTAGATTCTCCAACCAGGGGAAACAGTCTCACACTATCTACCCCGTCAAGACCCTTAAGAATCTTATAGGTTTCTATAAGATCACCTCTAATTCTTCTATATTCTGGAGAATATAGGCCTAGTTTACTCAACCTCTCTTTGTAGGTCAACCCCCTCATCCCAGGAACCAAACTAGTGAACCTACGTTGCACCCCCTCTAAGGCGAATATATCCTTTCTTAGATAAGGAGATCAAAACTGCACACAATGTTCCAGGTGCAGTCTCACCACAGCCCTGTACAATTGCAGTAAGACTTCCCTACTCTTGTACTCTAACCCTTTTGCAATAAACGCTAACATGCTATTAGCCTTCCTAATTACTTGGTGTACCTGCATACTAACTTTCTGCGATCGGTGTACAAGGACACCTAAATCCCACTGAATACTAACACTATCTAGTCTCTCCCCCTCTAGAAAATAATCTGCTTTTCTATTTTTTTCTACCTAGGTGAATAACTTCATACTTCCCCACATTATACTCCATCTGCCACCTTCCTGTCCACTCACTTAACCTGTTTATATCCCTTTGCCTCCTCCTTGTGTCCTCCTCACAGTTTACTTCCCACCTGGCTTTGTATTGTCTGCAAATCTAGATACATTAAGCTGTATTTCCTCATCTAAGTCATTGATGTAGATAGATAATGTCCAAATTTAAGCATCTACCAGTATACTTTGCTGACATTCTCAGGATGTCTAAGGCTATTATACCTGACTTGGAAAGGTTTGACACTGGGATTAGATACCCCAAATAGGAAAGCATTTAATTTCTCAACAGTCATCCAGCTGACGTCGAACAGAATAAAATATCAACAAAAGCAACAAATTGCATTTACACAGCGCCTTTCAAGTGGGGAGGATGTCCCAAGGCGCTGGACAATCAAGAGATTTGGACCCGAGCGGGGTGTTGGGATCAGGAGGGCAGGGAGGGCAGAGGTAGGAGGGTGGCCAAAGGCACGTCGAAGAGGAGGGTCTTGAAGGAAGCAGGGGAGGGAGCAAGATGAAGGGAGTGTGGGATGGAGTTCCGAAGGGTGGGGGCAGAGAGGCTGAAGGCCCGACCAGCCGATGCTCTGGTTTCTCTTCAGATGGTATAAATCTTTCGTACAAAATTATTGTAAAAGAAGGGTAAATACCGAGGGCAGTGACACTGAACAGCAATTGTTTAAGCGGCTAGCAGGCTACCTCTGAAAGTAATGCCAATTGAAAATGGATGCGTAGGCCATCACAGCACCAATCTTCTCGCTTCACTGACGCTGGATGTGAAAGAATCAGGAACTTTCCATGCAACAAAGAGAAGTTAACGCTGCCCACTAGATGGAAGTACTATGCTGTATAGCTGCGAGAGGCCCCTTTGCATGCCATCTGCAGTTCTTGAAGCTTGATCCCAACAAAAGCACTAAAGACTATAATTTGAAGGTGTGCTTTCTTCTGCTTTACAAATAAACCAACCCATTTGACTTAATTGGGGGGTAACTTAGAGGCATTTGATAACGGGT